CTATCTTCTAGGGAGGGAAAGAATCCAATCCAGTATCAGCACCTGTCTCCGGTTCTGTTCCCTATCTGAAATTCCAGGAGTAAAGGTAGTTAGAATGTGTAAGATGAAGTCAGACTTAGGAACTAGCTGTTTCAATGGTCAGGGCAAATAAACAACTTTATGTGGCCATGGGTTCCCCTCTCTCTCTTATATTTAAGGAATGTTATGAAGATTAACTGCATAAGAGCATTCAGCAGGCATCTTTTACTTGTACAAGGAAAAAGTCCATTGGCTGATTTCAGCTGTGTAGCTGCATAAAGATAGATCCAAGGATGCCGTTTGTCCCTAGCCATGATTCAGCTACAGCTAGAGATATGAAAAAATATGTGACTGTTAAGTCTATAATTAAACTTAAGTATAGGAATTTTAAATGACCTCTGCAGGAAAAAACCAAAAAACAAAAAAAGCAAGCTCACTCCTTCCATGAAACATTTCAGCTATATTTTCCAGTCAAATGGAAAAGTTTAACACTGCAGGTCTGGTAATACAAGGCAAACAAAGCTTTATTATAGCTAAGGAATATTTTTAGAGTTTTGATTCTTTTTATAAAGTTTACATAATGGCATATCAAAAAAGAAATAGTTTCATGGTGAATGCTGTAGTTGCATTAATTTAAAGATGATTCAACTCTAACAATTTAATCAATCAAAATAAACAGAGTACCAACATCATAAACTATAAGCAATTTAAAATAAATGGTAATCCCTTTTCACTAAACCAAGCTGTCTAAATGCAGGCACCATGAGCATAACAGGAATTTATATATCCAGTACAAGGGATATATAAATCTGCTGACTTGCACTGTCAACTAACCCAAAGCTTTCTTCTAGTGAGTGCCTAATCAGAGGCACTCTATCAAGACCACATCCTCTGAGGAAAACCAAAAAGGCAAGTCCTTCAAGTACCACCCAGAAATTCCTTGAATAAACAATAATTCTTGATGCCTCAATGAAAAATGATTCATTTACTACAGGATACCCAGTGCTTATCATAAATGTGCATACATTGTACTAAGCATGGCCATGAAGCCTGCCATAGAAAATTTAGTTGGGAGAGATAAGACACTGCACAACATAGTTATGATACTTTCCAAAATGGTGGTTCTCAATCAGGGGCAATTCTGTCCTCCAGGAGACATTGGGCAATGTCTGGAGACATTTTTGGTAGGCACAATTGAGCAAGTGCTACTGGTATCTGATGGGTAGAAGCCAGGGATACTGCTAAAAACCTACAATGTACAGGTAGGACAACCCCACAATGAAGAACCATCCAGCCTCAATGTCAATTGTGCCAAAGTTTCTAAGAAACCCTGTTCTAGTATAATAAGGAGCAAAAGGGAAGCGCAAGAGGTATAAATAAAATGCTAATGTAGTTTAGGACTTTGTAAATTAGAATGTCAATCTGCATCATCTAATGAAAATTAAGGTAAGAGTCCGATTGTGGAGAATTTTGTAAACTGGACAATGGGGTTTAGATTTGATTCTTTAGGAATATGAAGCCAGGTCAGGATAAGAAGACGAAAATGGTTCTTTTTAAGATTAGCCTGGTTATGGCAGAGAAGGTGAAATTTAAGTATGAAAGCCAGGTTAATAGAAAGTAAAAAAAGAAACTGATGATGACAATTCAAAGGGATAATCACCAGGACTGGGTAAGATATAGCTTGAGGATCCTCAGATTTCAAATCTCAGAATTAAATTTCCAACCAGAGGGTTCAACCTCCAATGACACTTTGCATTTGCTCATTTAAGTAAAACGCATCTTTGACTCACAATGCTTCACAGAAAACTGAAAGGAGGAAGTCACTTTTTAAAGGCTTAGTCCCTGGTTAAAAAATCATTGCAATGTATGTATGTATAACCAAGAAAAGGGGTGAGAAAAAAGACTGCTCCTCAAATTGGAAACCAAGCATTTTACAAATTAAACAGCTAACAACAATACCACCACTTCTGGTTTGCATAACAGGTTGTACTTGACAAAGTACTTTCACTGCTACCATTTTATTTAAACTCCTCTCAGACATAAATTATGTCCACCTGATTGATGAAGTATTTCTAGTGAAGAAAAAGGTGGGAAATTCCTACAGAAATTTCTTTATGCTGGATCAACACAACTCAAACAATAAGCAAACTGCCAACCACAGAACAAAACCCAAACACATTCAAACAAGGCATCAAAAGCCCTTCCCAACTTGGCAGCCATCTATCTACCTCTTTTTCTGGTCTGGTCTTTTGCTGCAAACTCCAGGCAAACTCCAATACTTCACTGAATGTAAGCCCTTTCCTGCCTCCACACCTTTGCTCTTGGTTTCCTCTAGCTGGGATACCTTATCAGACACCTTTGCCTGGATGTGTTGCAAACACCTCGAATAAAATATGTCCAAAATGCATTTTCTTTCCATTCTACCTCCCCAACTTACCCCTCTCCTCTCACATTACTTACCTTAGCGAATGGTACCACCCAGTTCCCTAAGCCAGAAAGCGAGGCATTCATCCTAGACTACTCCTATTTCTTCATGTCCATAAACAATTAGCCTCCAATTCTATGGATTCCATCTTTGAAATACTGCTCAAATGTGATCCCTCCTCTCCTTCCCACTGTCACTGTCTTAGTCAAGCCGTGACTGTGGCAAAAGCTTCCCAACACTGGTCTACTTCATGATCATGTCCCTTCCAACTTGACAAACTAAACTTACTTTTTTTTATTATTATTTTTATTTAAAGATTTTTATTTATTTATTTGACAGAGAGAGAGATAGCGAGAGCAGGAACACAAGCAGGGGGAGTGGGAGCGGGAGAAGCAGGAGCCCGATGTGGGACTCGATCCCAGGACCCTGGGATCATGACCTGAGCCGAAGGCAGACGCTTAACGACTGAGCCACCCAGGCGCCCCTTGACAAACTAAACTTTCTAAAACAAATCTGACCATATCATTTTCCTACATAAAACCCTTCAAAGCATCCTCACAAGCTTTCTAAGATCCACATTATTCAGCATGATCTACAAGGTCCTTCATATTTGACCCACCACTTCCCACTTCCTTCACGTCTCTATGCATTACTGAAATTTCAGTCACACTGAACTAGCCATGATCTTTCACATGTCCAGATCTCCATGTCCTTGCACTCTTTGCCTGTAAATCCCTTTTCCAGATTCACCATATGGCTAAATAAGTCCTGCTAGACTTATCCTCCATTTCCTCCTCAAAGCACAGATACCCGGCTCAGGTATTCCTCCTCTATTCTTGCATAGCCCTTTGCTCACACAGTGCATTATGACGGTAAGCCATCCCCGACCCACCCCACCCCCCATGGTAACAACTGTATTCCTAGCCACCAGGGCCAAATGCCTCATTTAATATGTGCCTCAAACATATTAAGGGCTCAATGAATGAGTGGTGAATGATGAATGTGCTGGGCTGTCCTGTTTTTCACTTGAACAGGGATCCCTACAAAGAGCTTCAACTAACACAGTTCTGATACTAACCCCTGCCTTAAAAGGTTCTCATCCTCTCTTCATCAAGCTTATTGCTATTTATTCTTCAAAATTCACCTTAAATTCTGCTCTGCAGAAGGGATTTTCCTGAACCCCAAGTTATATACTTCCATAGTACCCTGTTCTTTCCTAACACTCATCACATTTGTAGTTACTTCTTTTTATTTTTTTTAAATTTTTATTTATTTATTTGACAGAGACAGAGATAGCGAGAGCAGGAACACAAGCAGCGGGAGTGAGAGAGGGAGAAGCAGGCTTTCCCCCGAGGAGGGAGCCCGATGTGGGCCTCGATCCCAGGACCCTGGGATCATGACCTGAGCTGAAGGCAGACGCTTAATGACTGAGCCACCCAGGCGCCCTATAATTACTTCTTAAACGTCCCTGCAAAAGCTCTATGTGGGCAGGGTCTGGCTTGTTTTGTTTCAAAACTGCATTCCCTGGATATGGCAGTGCCTGACTGAATAAACAGAATTTGTTACACTGAATTTAATCCTGTGAGGTAAGCAGAGATCTCCACTTAAAAGCTGAGAAAAATAAAGCTCAAGGAAGTTAAATAATGCATCTATGGCTACAGATACTTAGCAGTGGGGCCAGACCAAACCTGAACCATCTGATTTCAGGTCCAGAAGTATGCAATACCTTCAATAAAGTTAACTAAGCCTTTCAGAATAGGAGCAAAGGACCTGGAGGAATGAGAGGCTACCTGACTGCAAATACAAAGACCCGTCCCACTCTCTTTGAAAAACTCCCCAGGCATTCCAAACAGATTGCATTAAACAAAAAACCAAACAAAACCAAAAAAACACGCAGCGGGTGGTCTTTAACCCGCAGCGCCCGCGAGACGACACCGACTGGAAGATCACTCGAGAGGTTCCTGGGAAATAGTCGTCGGAAGGAACTGGAACTGATGATCTAAGGAACTGAGGTCTTGATTCCAATTATTTTCCTCACTCGCTATAAGAGCATAGACCAGCCTCTTCGTCCCGGGGATCAATTTACCCATCCGTGCAATGGGGACGAAATGGGGGGGGGATAGACTCTAAGGTGTCGCTGGTTCCTTAGGAATGCCTACGTCTGGGCACCTTAGGAATCAGGCCCCGCCGAGGCTGACAGCCAGGACTGCGAAATCCAGCGGAGGGGCCTCCCCAGAGGAGTCCGGCTCAGTTGGTCACCCTAGCCCCACCTCAAGAGACCGCGCCCAGGATCCCGGGTCGGCCTCACGGCCTCCGCTCCGGCCCCTTCAGTAGGGCTCGCCACGCGCGCGAAGGCCTGAAGGGCCATTCACAACACCAGGGGCCGGTGGGCCGCGGAGTGGACCCCAGTCCCTACCCGGCCGCGTACCCTCACCTCAGAGTTCCGCCTCACCTCCCGACTGCGATCAGCCGCTCTCCACTTCCGGCAAGAACCGCCCAGCAATCTTCGCGCGACCCACTTCCGGGCCCTTACTGGGCGCGGCACCCCCACCGGAAATGGACGGCCGCTGAAACGCCGCGGTGGAGGAGAGACCGGGAAGGAAGTCTGGCCGCCCCGCTCGTGGCTCCGCCCCCTATTCTCCATGCCCGGAAGGGAGAATCCTCACTAGACCCGAGGGCACATGGGAGAGAGTTCCGCCCCCAAAGCGAAAGCGGCCGGGGGAGCGCGCTCAAGGGTAGGCCACGCCTCTCCGCCAGAGTCGTCCGGGCCAATGAAGGGCCGAAATTACCGGCTAAGCTCCACCTCCGGAGAAGGAGGACAGGTGAGTGGTTAATTAGTGCTCCTATCACTGTGTTCTCAATGGCCGAGGCTGGTGCTTTATCCTCGCAGTAGGGAAGGGGACTTGGAGGGACTGGGAGGCAGGATTCTGAGGGCGAGAATCCCGAACAATCGTCTGTTCTCCAGGGAGATTGAAGCTAAGCTCCGCCTCTTTGGGCATGCGTACCTCAGTTTCCCCGTTTGTGACGTGGGGAGGCCGTTGGTCTGGACAGTGTTCTGGGGGTACCTGCCGAGGCTGGCGTGGCGGCGGAGGGGGTGGGTCGGTGAGGGCGCGTGGGCCCAGCCCTGGGTTTCTGGGCGTGTCCGCCATCGCCCCGCTCGCTCTTCCTCTGGGCTGGGAAGGTGGAGGCTCGCCCCACTTCCTGTTTGTTCCGTGTGCTCTGTGACCATAGATGGTCAGGTCTGGGGCCTCGCGGAAGCCTCCGCCCCGCGGTTTTGGAGTCCTTCCTCCCCGCGTGCTGGGTGTGGTCGCCGAGAATAAGACGAGCGGAATTAGAGAACATCCTGCTCCGCTCCGCTCCGCTAAAACCCGGCTTGTGAGGCCGCCTCGCCGGGAGCGGGGCGTGCCCTGCCGCCTGCCACTTAGTCCGGGGGACGTTCTTCTCGGCGGCTACAGCCGGGGGTGGGGCGGGGGTGGGTGAGACTCGCTTCCGTGCTCCCCCGGCCTGGGATCAGCTTTGTTTCCTCAAGGCTCACACTTTCCAACCGGTGATTATCCTCCCACAAAGATTTATTTCCAGAAAAATTGGCGAGTGCTACTGTTCCCACTCCTTCAGCTAAACTTCTGTGACAGCTCCAAGCTTCAAGTTGAATGCAGGCGTTATATGCCAAAGTCACTCATTCAACAAATACAGCTCTTATAATAACAGCTACCATTTACTGCGTGCTGACAACGTGCCAGACCTGTGCTGAATGCTTCAGAACATTTTCATGTAATCCTAATAGGAACGCTCTGTGGTAGGTACCATTATGGCCTCCAGTTTTCAAAATGAATAAGCTGAATTACTTGCCAAAGTCACAGAGTAACTTGGAACTTTGAAGGGAACATACTTATCTGATGAAATCCCATGAATTTAACCCCTACCATAGACCATACCAAAATAACATTTGCCACAGTTTCGAGACGGTGATGCCTCTGGATAGGGAGACATCCTGGGTTCCATTCCTGGCTTGGGCACTTTACTAGGGGTTAGATTGGCCAGGTTACCTGACTTGGCTGAACCTGGGCCTCTTTTTAATTTTATGACTTCCAATATGTTAAAAAAAAAATGACTACATGACAAAATATGGTACAAAAAATGTATATTTTAAATATTTACATTGAACAAAAACACTGTGTCTCTCTCACACACACACATACAACACAAAAACTTTAACTTTATTCAAACATAGCATCAAATGGTTATATTTGAGTGCTTTATGTATGTGAAGCCTATGGCAAATATCCTCCCTTGCCCTCATTGTAAGCAGCTCTACATTTAGCCCTAAATGTCTTTCTGAATTTAGAGACAGGAAATACTTAGACATGCATCCCAGAGGAAGGGGAAAGAGAGAAGGAAACAGGAAGGAGAAGAAAGAAAGGAAGAAAATGGGGATAATGATTTGTGGGGTTGAAATGAGAAACAGAAGCAATAACCTATATGAAACCACACTGTTAAGTGATTCTTCGTAAAGAGTGCACACATGAGTGAGTCACAACCCTGGCCCCCAAGGAACTTTTCATCTTTTAAGGAGTCTAAGCACAAGTACTTCTAACTCTAGTGGGAGGCAGTTTAAGAGCAGTATCTACCACTTTTATTTATTCATTTATTTATACACTGAAAAAAAAAATACTGAGTTCTTCCTCTGTGCTAGGCACCATGCTACTTTGCACAAGGCACAAGGAAGAGTATGTGAATGGACAAGTCAGACTCTCACTGCCCTCATGGAGCTTACAATCTATTGGGGAAACAGGTATTGCCATCTGGGGCAGTCATCAGAAGTGCTGACTATTGGCTTCTAGCTTTTTCCTCCTCACTGATCTTGCCCAGTTTCTTATCCATGGTGGGCTCTCATCAGACACATGTCCAATGAGTACCTGGAATTCAGAATAGTCATTTCCTGGGCTGTGATGGGTGGGGAGAACATTGAAGAGCAAACATGAGTAAACAGTAGTGGAGGTGGACCCAGTGACTAGCTGAGGTGAGAGGATCCTATAGGAGATGAGGATGAAGAGAAAGAGGTTGAGCAACCCGTGCCAGACAGGAGAGGTAACACCTTAATGTGAAAGCAAGGAGGAGCTGGTCAAATTACATTTTAGAAATACAACTCTAACTGCAGGGTAGAGCATGGGCTTCTGTGGGGGGGGGGGACAAAGAGGCAGGGGGATCTGTTAGAAGACAGGTACAAAGGTAGCAAGGGTCTGAATCGAGGCTGTGACATGGGGATGCAGCAGAGATGCCATTGTTATAAAGGGCATCGTAAGGAGGAAGATGACAAGGAGAAAGACAAATGGCAGGGGGATGATCTAAATATGAACCTCCAGGTTAGATCTAGTTCCCCAGGTATACACTCCCATTGAATACTATGTTTCCCTTCCTGGCAGGTATCACAGCCTAATTGAATAATTATCTGTACACTTGTCTTTTAATGTTTCTTTCCCTGTAAGTAACTTGAGGTTAGAGTCTTTGCCTCTCTGGCACAAAATTGATACTCAATAGATATTTATGGGAAAATGTGACTAACTGAAAAGGGTGAGAGGGGCTAAGGTGGCTCTGAGACTTGGAGCATGGGTGAATAGAAGGCGGCAAGAAGACTGGATCAGGGCTTGGGGGTTTTGAGCCTCAGACTTCAAAATCATCCAGCCTGGGAAGAGAAAGGAATGCAGTGAATCATTTTGCAAGCAGAATCGCCAACAGAGATTTGATTGATTCTCACAAAATTCCCTTCTTCATGTGTTTTGCCACTTTCGTATTTTGCCTGGATTTCAGCACATTCTAAACCTGCAGAATTGCTTTGTCTCTGAGGGTGCCACCCAAGATTCTTCCTTATCTCTCTGAGTTTCAGACACAGAAGTCTGGCGGTTCATCTGGAGCATTTCCCAGCCTGGCTCAGAGGATTGCCTGTATCTGTGCAGCCTGGCTCAGAGCCTGTCTGTATTTGGGCAGATCCTGTATCCCCCTGCCAGAAGGGATTGATAACAGACAACAATCTCTGTGAGCCCATATTTCTTCCTCTCCTAGAATAGGGTCCCAAGTCTCCAGCCTGAGTTAGGGTCTCAGGTCCAAAAATTACAAATCAACAAAAGAAATATTGGCAATATAATATAGTGGTTAAGATCTGGCTTTGATGTCACTCAGACCCGAACTTGAATCCCACTCTGCCACTTACTGTTTGATCTGGGTCTAGTCAGTTAACCTCAAAGAAGGATATTAATACCCATCTTGAATGGTTGATAAGAAGATTAGGAGAGAATTTATAAAACATCTGGCTCACAGTAAATATGAATGAGAAGTAACAATTTTTTTTTTAAGATTTTATTTATTTATTTGAGAGAGAGAGAACACATGAGAGGGGATAGGGTCAGAGGACGAAGCAAACTCCCTGCCGAGCAGGGAGCCCGATGCGGGACTCCATCCAGGGACTCCAGGATCATGACCTGAGCCGAAGGCAGTCGCTTAACCAACTGAGCCACCCAGGCACCCGAGAAGTAACAATTATTATTCAATACATATAGTCTATTGTCTGTGTTCCTGGTGAAGGCCACCAGAAAGCAAAACAAGGTCTGGATGGTTCTACCAGAGCCATTGCTGTTACTGCCCCATCACCAGAAAGTTTCCCCACAGTGTCTGCTTCTTTACATTGCTACCTTTTGATTCAAAGTCTGGACCTGTGCCCTTGGCTGCAAGTAAGATTAGATAAATCAATTAAGAATATGAATGCTGGGGCGCCTGGGTGGCTCAGTCGGTTAAGGGGCTGCCTTTGGCTCAGGTCATGATCTTCCCTCTACCCCTCCGCCCTGCTTGTGATCTCTTGCATGTGCATGCTCTTTCTCTCTCAAATAAATAAATAAAATACTTTTTTAAAGAAAGGAATATGAATGTTTTGGCTGTAGACAACAGGACACATGAGTTTGGTGACTTTTTTCTTAAGTGTATTTTTCCCAAGAAGAATAGAGGTAGGCAATTTTACTGGCTCAGTAAAATCAGCTGATACCTCTGTGATTCAGTTAGACTTATCCTTAGAGTTGCAAGTTGGCTGTCATAGCCCAAGCCATCACATCATGTTTAAGGAAAGAGGAAAAAGGAAGAGGAAGGTGCAGCATCTGAAATTGGAAAGCTAGTTTCCTGAGGAACTCCACAAAGCATACCCTGCTTTCTATCTCATAGCCAGAACCAACAGTCAACAAACATTTCAGCTTCCTGGTCCCTCAAAGAGATACTTCCAAGGTGCACATTTCACAGTGTTTCTGAGGGTCCCCAGAAGGACCAAGCCCCAGCTGCCCACAGCAGTAACCCACTCATTAATGAGTCCTTTACTGGCTTTTCTCCCTATCCCAGAGTCATTTATCTCATGGAACCCATACTAAAGAGAATGGGATTAGCTGGCTCTGCAACCCTAAGAAAGTGATAGCATTGTCGGCTTTGATGCTGTAAGGGGCACTCTCTGTCTGGGATGTTACCCAAATATATAAAAGGGTTGCAGATGCTGAGTGTCCAGTAGGAATGATAGATGTCCACTATAATAAATGCCGGGAATGGCCCAACATCAACATATACCCTTCTTTCTATACTTACACTTCAAAAATGAAACAAAACTCCTCAGTAAAACACCTTTTATAACCTAAATTGTCATCACCATACTCACCCCTCTACCCCCCCAAAAAAGGAATTGACAAAACTCTCATCAGTTACTTCATCCAGCTCCAAGTCCAAGATATCCAAATAATGTGTGTCTTCTGCTAGTTCCATAATGATGCTTCCTCAGTGTTCCTCAGCCTATGGACTGATCTTTAAAGTCAACCACCACAACATAGTACATCCTATATATGTTGCGGTGGAAAGGAGAAGAAAATTAGATACAATATGTAACTACTGAACTGACATGGCAAGAAACATTTCTATAGCAATCACAAGGTCTTAGTTGATGGTTTTGACTTCATGACTTTACATATCTATTACCCATTCCACATTCTCTGTCTTCAACCAGCACTTCAGTTCATCAGGGTCACAGCGATTGGAAAAGAAAGAGGGCATGAAGGAAGCATGCTGCGGTCTTCAAGGATCTGATCAAGAAGTGGCATATATTACTTCCACTACATTGCGTGAACTAGAATATAATCACATAGCTTGTAGTTGGGGCTGTGAGGTTTTTCTTCTTCCTTTTTTTTTTTTTAAGTTAAGCCCATCGTGGGGCTTGAACTCAGGACGCTGAGATCAAGATCTGAGCTGAGATCAAGAGTCAGATGCTTAACCAACTGAGCCATCCAGGCGGCCCAGGACTATGAGTTTTCTATAGGTGACTCAGACCTTCTCTCCTAAGGGATTGGAGGTCTTGCCTGTCCTGCCTGTAAAATATTCCCATAACATTCTGCACTAAACATGGCAGGAGCAGGAGGACCGCTAAGGATCCCCTGAATTATATCCCTAATCCTCCCTTCCTATAGTATAGTGACAGTTCTCCTTTGCCTTGATAATAGGCTCATTCACCCGAGCCAACCATCATAATCCAAGACATGCATGTAAAGTTTAACAATAGGCTCTCCAAGCCCAGATTTGTAGCATTTGCCAATTTCTGTAGTATAAATACTCCCACCGTGGCCAGTTTTTAACTAACAATATGTCACTGAATATAGAGTTGAGAAAAAGGCACTGTGGTATATGGAATAATGGCTCTCCAAAGATGACCACATCCTAATCTCTGGGACCTGTGAATATACTATCTTACATGGCAAAGGGACTTGGCAGATGTGATGAAATTAAGGATATTGAGATGGAGAGATTATCCAGGTAGGCCCAATGCAATCAACATGGAACCTTATCAGGAAAGGAAGTCAGCGTTAGAAAGAGATGTTACAAGAAAGCAGAAGTCTTAGTTATACAACCAAGGAATATAGGCAGCCTCCAGAAGCTGGAAAAGTTAGGCAACCAATTTTCCTCAGAGCTTCTGGTAGGAACACACCTGGGCTCACACCTTGATTTTAGCCCCAGAAGACACACTTCCGATTTCTGATCTTCCGAACTCTAACAAATTTGTGTGCAGCTACTAAACCTGTGGTAATTTTTTATAGCAACAGTAGGAAACTGACACAAGCACCCAGTCAACTCCTGCAAACCTGTATGAGCTGCCTCTAGAACACCAAGTTAACTTTTTCTTTTTTATCTCTTACCTAGTGACGAGACAAGCCCAAATTGGCAAATGGCAGCCTTACTGTGCAGTCCAGTGGAAGTATTCCCATGTCCTCTGGTGGGAGCATGCCTCCCTTGGGTAATAGAACTTGTGAAGAGCCATGGTCAGAATCACAGAGACATGAAGATCAACATTTAAGAGTCAGTTAGATAGGACAGAATTGCCACTCCATATTTACCCTCTCTTCCTGCATTCCATCTATTTTGTTCTACGTGAAAGGCTACTGCACATTTGCTTACCGGTGCACAATTTACAGCGCTTCCTGTAGAACTTCAGTCTCGTAAGGTGTTGTCCCTTACTTATGGCCATGGATTGGGCACCTTTTGTGCCCATTGGTGCACCTTTCTACTCCAGCCTTTGCTGTGGCTACCAGGTGCTTGCAGGTGTGACCTAACAGCCCTTGGCTTCCACTGCTTTCTCCAAGTATCTTGCTTTCTGCCCCAGGGCTTCTTTCATGGAATTCACCTCGTGGGTTGTCTGTGGGAACTTGCACTGTGATTTTGATACATGTGTCAACCTAAAAGTGCCAACTTGAGAGTTCGAAGGAGTTAACCAGCAACTGGGAAACCCTTGACCAAGGACAGGAGCCAGTGCATAAATATTCCCTCTTCCTTCCCTGGTTGGACAATTATGAGGCACATTCTACAGTGCTGCAGAGTATTTCCAGCAGAATCGACATCCACATGCCCAAAGCAGTGACCTTCTGGATCAGTCATCCTTGGATTGGCTTTCCTGGTTTGCCTGTTTTACCCTTCCTACTCTCTGACTCCTGTTCCTTGGGATCACTCCTAAAAATAAACTACCTGTTTGCACGCCCTTGTCTCAGACTCTGCTTTTGGGGGAAATTAAGTCTAAAAGATTTGGTAGTAGAAGTGACCCAAGAGAGACACCTGGGTGGCTTAGTCGTTAAGCATCTGCCTTCGGCTCGGGTCATGATCCCAGGGTCCTGGAATCGAGCCCCACATCGGGCTCCTTCCTCAGCGGGAAGCCTGCTTCTCCCTCTACCACTCCCCTGCTTGTGTTCCAGCTCTCACTGTGTCTCTCTCTGTCAAATAAATAAATAAAATCTTAAAAAAAAAAAAAAAAAAAGAAGTGACCCAAGAAAGCAGATTCTCAGCATAGGATTCTAGAACTGGATCAGACCTCAATGAGCACCCCATTCTTGGTGATTCATGCAGTAGTGATAACCCTTGACAATGCAGTAGCCTCATAATTACTAAAAGTCTCACCAGTGGCATACTGTAATAAGGTGTATAAGAAAGGTGAAGCGTTGACTTAAGAGACAGAGGTAACATTTGAATGGCTTGTGGCAATAGTATTATAAGGATTATGGTGTCAGCTGGCTTTAGTTAATGGCTTTTGAAGTCTGGGGAAAAAAGTTAACAGGCTAGCTGGCAACATGAATATCTATATCTATAGCTATATATTTATATATTTCAACCCTGGCTTGAGTGTTACACTGAACTGAAGTTACTCACTTCTTCTTCATCAGTCATTTCTTTCTGTCCCTTTCCCTAACTTCTCTGCTGCATGTGACAGTTCCTAAAAGTTCATTCTTAGGTTCTCTATTCCTTATTCTTTCCACTGATGAATTACCCTTGTCTCATGTCTTTAGTTATTATTTAGTTTCATTTCAGTGTCCCTCTGGTGTGTCTGCCATCCTTTTTTTTTTTTTTAATAAAGATTTTATTTATTTATTTGAGACAGAGAATGAGAGAGAG